ATCTTGTCCACCATCAGGAACCAGCAGCCAGATCAATGGTGTCAGACCTTTGAAGGGCTGTCGAGGTCAGTTTGGGGGCCCTAGTGACCGTTTGACAATCTGACAGTCTGCTTGTCGCCGAGTCAATCCGACTGAAGCGTACGACGCCAGTCCTCGTCAGCAAAACGAAGCCTTCTACTACGTACGGTAGTACCTTGAGACGTCGACAATCTAGACCTCCTATATGACGACCCCAGCCGCATTCCTGCAACTCTTGGTCACCGCACGCCGAGTACTGCAAATGGCATCCAGCCTGGTCTCTATCCCAGCATGTTGGTCCAAGGGTACTGGTCACACGGGTTGTCCACCGCGTTCGACTTGAGCCCGTGCCGTATCCGCTGCTACCAGCCGGGATCGACGTCGCGCAGACGCCATCTATCTTGGTCGACGGGGGACATTTGGGGAAAGCCAGGCATCGGTGGCTGTGTATCTCGACCTCCCTGGTTCGTCAACGCCCACGCGGTTGACACCTGTGCCAATGTCGGATCATGGTACGACGTTGGGCAATGCTTTTTCAGAGGACTCGGTGTCAGTGACACACCGACAGCTCTGACCGACGTCTCGAAATCTTACGTTTTCGGGGCAGCCGGCTGCCATTCCGTCTGTTTCTCCGGCTGTGCCGCTGGTCAACTAAAGCAACAACGCGAAACGTGCCGTTGGACCAGACAGGAGCCAACAGCATAACAGGGACTGAATGCTGTTGGTTGCTTGTTGATGGATTCGCGGCTTTATCCGTTTTCGAGAGGCCTTGCAAGCCCGGTGTTGCCATCCTGTCACTGCAGCAGGCGGCGCCACAATAGGAGGCTTTGGAGACGCTCACCGACAGTCTCGATATGAGGCCTAGATTCAGAGCCTCCTGGTCAACTTCCTCTCAGCATGCCACTTGAATTTGCGGCGTTTTGGGCCCAGAACCATCATTGGGCAATCTCAAGTTTCACCCTGCTTGGTTTCATGTGCCTAGCTAGGCAAAATGATGTGCCAATCGCACTCGGCAGAATTGCATCGTTGTCATTTCTGACCAAACACCAAGGGGCACATGCTGGACTTACACACCATACCAACCACTACAAGAACCAACGCCATGCTGCGTCAATCGTGGCACACAACGCTCCCCTACACTCCGTTTGCATCGCCAGATCAGATGAGGGTGTGGAAGCACTCCATTGCTATCTATCGGATATGGGCGAATGCTCACAGTGCATGCATGCATGCTAGCCCTGCAATCTGGCTGGCCTATGTGATCTGTCATCTCATAGCCGAGATGCGAGGTCGATCATGTTTCTACCAAAAGATTCGTGTTAGTCCACCCTTCAGAATGGCTGCCACTACCAAACTCGCTTGGTTTTGGTCGGAAAATGATACGTCATATCAATCAGATGGGCTGTGAGACCATTTCACCCAAACGAGACGCTCTCTTCGTCGAGGTCCCCCAATGGTGAGTACAACTTCGCTTGAGGCATTGATTTCAAGGGACCCTTGGCCAAGAGCTTCACCGATCATGATTTACCAGTGCTCGAATAACGCCGTCGTTAACTCATTGATCCCGACGGATGTGAGTCAACTGCCTCCAGGACCCCTTCCGACGAGACTTCTCTACGCTTGTGCTACCTGTCAAGCTGCGTAACGAGACGAGGAACTTAGCATTCGGCACGGAATCAAGCATATCGTTCGCGGCAGTTGACCTTGTCAAGCCTACTGGCTACAACAATGGCTTTGCGGTGAGGATACCTGCATTGCTCGGTATGTAACCATCCGCGAAGACGCGATTTTTTTCGCAGAGTAGGCTCTCCTCATTAGGCATCAAATCAAAATGCCCACGATGTTCGTTTATTCTAACTGACTGTCTTTCGGACGTTTAGTTGCTTGGACGCGTCGTCACCACGAACTCACCACTCCAAGAATATTCTCCGAGCAGAAGTCAGCCGCATCATCTCTTGGGAGTGATCAGATGCACGCTGTTCCTGAAGCTTGGGCCCGGTTTCCAGTTTGTGTGCTGGTTTGGTAACGCCGCAAGATCCACGATCGATCCCTCCCTCAATCTCCTGACCATCTCTATGTTTGGCACCAAAATCTCGGTTACCTCTTTACAATGATCAGCATCCTGGCTAGTCAACCAGACTGGCGGAACCGCTCTATCGAAAATTTGGTCACCCGGTACCACATGGTCAGGCGTACAACAGGGAGACGACAGCGGGCTGCTGCATTCTGACCGCCTTCAACGTGGACGATCTCGGTCAAAATGGTTTGATCGGGAATTGAAATCTCGATGATGACCCTGTCAAACGAGGTTTCGAGATTGCAAAAACAAACGCGTGTCTCATTCACCAGACCCTTGTCATTTGAATCTCGGCCTTGGAAATGTGACCCAGGCACTCAGTTCCTTGTGGCTGCAGGACGACGACAGCCACCGGCGGAGGAGTACGACGGCTTGTTACACCGCCCTAGCTTCCGCACCGCGAAGTAACCACCCATCGTGTCTGTCTCAATCCCGCAGCATGTTACCTGTCAACTTTATTTTGTCGACCTATGATACGTTTAGCCAGAGCACGCTGTCTATTGCCGGCCGCGCTCAGGCGAGTCTCATTGTTGCGAACGTCGTTTGCTGTTGCGGTAACACAATGGGTCAACAAGGTCAGAATCGCAATCGTGTCGAGAAGCGAAAGATTAAGCTTGCCTCACGGTTTTCAGCTGGTTACGATGACCGGTCATCCCCGGAGTATTCTCCTCGATCGGACTAGGCGCCATGCTGGAAGATCGAATTCTGGTGATAACTGATGAATTGCATCCAGTCGGGCCGCGTAACTCAGACTTCAACCCGACATTATGAGTACCTCCGAACATGGGTTTTCTTTTAGTTTGTCTCACAGGCAGACAGCGACAGACCATCTCATTGGAAAGCCTCAAACATATTTCCTTTTTCGTCGTAATCAGTCTCACAGCCAACGGCCACGGGGCGTCGGCCCTCTTCCGCTTCTCCGTCACGCCCACCCGCCAACCGGATGTAGGGCTCGATCCCAAAAGATCGACGCCCCGTCTGGTATCGTCCGTTGTTTTTCGTCGGCGGAAATATCATCCCTGCTGATGTCGAACTTGCAGTTCGCAGCTGGTGCCACCGGGTTAGGTATGTGTGGAAAATGAGCGACGTGCCAATCATGCAGTCTCGGTTGCCAAGCTGTAACAACCGGGCAGGGCTGCAGGAATATGGTGCGATGAACCTCTGGGCTCTCATCCTAGACATCGGAAGCGAAAAAAATAAGAAACGAAGCCGAGGCAGCCAGAATTCATCTAGAACCACGAACTTCCGAACGCCGGCCACGGAACTCTCTCGAACACTCGAACATACGGAGACGGGATCGGGAGAATTCGAAGGCGGTTACCGTTCGGCGGTTGGGAGCCTCAAGCCGACGTGTTACAACCGTACAACGCGAGTCTATTTCGGTTCACCGCGGCAGAGAAACGGCTCCCGTCAGGCTGGGTGATGTACACCAGCATTGCCTCGGGTGAGAAGGTGGTCTTGCTCTGATAGCGACCCCCCCCCCCCCGTCTCGTCTGTTGAGGACCCTTGACCGGCAGCACGGGTTGCGGTTTCCGACGTGACACAGAACAAGAAGCATGTATGCCCAGGTACGACGTGGGGCCGCGGTCACTCAATCTCCTCGTTGATGACGGGATCAGCAGCACCAGTAGCGTCGGCAAGGGAAAGAAACGAAGCGAGACGGCGACGAGAGCGACGGGGACAGCGACGACGTCAACATTCGGGAGCGACATGTCAGTTGACACCACGGCTCTATCCGCCCTTCCGAAACCCGCGAGTATCCGTTCCATCACACGTCAAATCGTAATCGTCCTATGTCGCGACGATGTGAGTCAAGTCACATCGCACATTGCCCCGAGACCAGCTTGTTGTTGGGATGAGCAGTGTGTTCTACTTGCCCGTCCCTCGGCCGCGGCACCGACGGCAGCGTGGCGATGTGAGTCGTGATGACATGTCCCGGCCCCCAACAGGACTCAGACCTGATCTAGGGGTGTGTGAGTTGGGCATCAACACCAGCGGACGTCAGGGCGGCCCCGTTCTTGATTTTCTAGAACATGATGGATCAAAAAGAGGCCACGAGGGACAAGACTTGATTTTGAGCTGGACCCTTGTCGGAGAAGGGGGAAAACAACTGTTTCTTTTTTTTCGTTCTTTCTTGGTTGTTCATTCTTCTATGGCATTTGCAATTTCTGCGTCAGCATAACCCTCACCCTCCTCCTCCTCCTTTCCCTTTCCCTTTCCCTCTCCCGAGACCCACGTTCACATGTCCTGTTTGTTCCTGTCTCCCGCCGCCGTCTCTGATTCGTCTCGGTCCTATCTCCGTCAAGCCACAGAACCGACACCCGGGCGACGACACATTTCCCAATGAATGATCCCCCCCAAAACACGAAAAATGATTAAAGAAGAATAATGATGTGACCACATGACTTGGGTAAACCTCCAAAAATGTCGCTCGCTAAGCGCTGAACCAGGTAATCCATCCAAAATAGTAAAGGGTAATAATACTCCCCGAGACAACCCGAGTCTCAGAAAAGGAACCAAGGAAAAGAAAACAAGAAAAAAAGACAGCGCCGGCCCCCAACAAGAGTAGAAGAAGAATGCCATGACCCCCATCAAAAAAATGAGATGAACAGGAGGGTCAGGCAGAAGAACAAGTCTAGTTTAGAGAGAAAAAAAAAAGGTATCGATCGGAGACATGAAAAATGATGATGCCTCTTTCTTCCCCCACACACCAAAAAAACGCCCATGTCCGGTTTTTGTTTTCTTTCCGCCCCAAGGTATCGAATACAAGGTATAAAAGAAGAGGTTGGAATGAATGAAACAAAAGAAAAAAAGGGGACTCCCGTGGCTCGGTATTTTCGCCTCCCGAAAAGGAGAAGCCGGTCTGCTGCTGCTCTAATCGCTCTTCCTATCCCTCGTTTACAAATCACGACTGCACCATCTTGTCGACTCTGATGAGAAGCTTGCCGCCGTCAATCGGGTTATTTTTGACGTCCATGAGCTTAACGAAGCGGTAGCCGGTCTGGAGGCGGTCCAAACGGATACACGCCCACGACAGCAGCTCATCACCGCCGAGGAGGGGGTCATTTTCTACTTTTAACCTATTGCAATAAGTGTCAGTCTCGGGAATGCTCTTAAAAACCCAAAAAAAAAAAAAAAAAAAAAAAAGGTCTTCGGTATTCTTCATGTGCGTCGAGCATGCGTTATGCGGGAGAGGTTGCGGTGTGCAGCGGCCCGACCTGTCAAGGCGGCCTGCGGCAGCCGCTCAACGGTTGCTTGGCGAGCGAGTGTTGGAGGCTGGCGGGAACTTGAGGGGACGGGTGACACGACGCGACGAAAGGGTCTCGACGAGTAGGTAGGGTTGCACGGCATGGTGTTTACGCTCTCGATATTCTGACGACCGCGAGACGGGTGACTGCAGCTTGTCCGAGGATGGAATCAGGCCATGGAGGCTGATTTCGTCGCATCTCAGAGGCCATGCCACATCCGTAGAGCGCACCACCTGAAGGTCGGACACGCTGCGCGGGAGGGTAGGCGCGGAGCCGCGCGACAGAGGTTCTTGTTGGGTCGTGTATCGTGAAGCATACGTGGGACGGAAATGTGGCGGTGAAGAGGGGGATTGGTGAAAGTAAACAGAAAATGATCTTACCTGACGAAGCTCAGTTCCTCCACCACCCTCGAGACCTTGGGGAATCTGAGCCGCGCTCCGTTCTCCCATTCGGGGTGGTCCGTCTTTTTCGAACTGGTCTTGAGCTTGAAGTCGTCCTCGTCGGCCGCCTTGCCGTTGACGGCTCCAATCTCGACGTGGAGCTCGCACTTGACAAAGGGACGAAGGTTCTTGCCGCTGCGGCTGCTGTCGCTGTCTGACGAGCTTGGAACCCAGATGTGCTGACCGGCGATGATAGTGATGGTGAGGTTCATGTCACCTTGCGGCGCGGCGTCGACCTCCGTCTCGACATTCCTGTCCGTGCTGCGGTATCCGATAGGCTTCAGGACATAGCCCAGCTCGTCCGCAAACATGCCCTCGTTGAGCATCATACCTTCGTCAAGGTACTGCCAGTTGAGAGCCACCATCTGCACGCCCTTCCGCCAGAACGGACTCGGATCTGGATTCGAGCTATCGACACGTGTGCCGTTGGGGAAGGCTCGCATGAAGTAGTTCTTGTTGTGAGCAAACATCTCGCGCGCCTTGGTCTTGTGGAGATCCAGGATGTTGCTCTCACTTATCGAGAAGATGTGGCCTGGCTTCTTAGCGGCAGGAGTCTCGAAACTCTTAAAGTGCTCACTATGCGTGTAGATCGCCAGGTTGCTGAGGGCCTGGCAGATGTCCGATTTAGGGTTGTGTTGGACTGGGGCTGCCGCTGGTGCAGCGCGTTCGTCCTCGGAACTTGAGGCGTCCTCGTCGTTGGCGTGGACAGCTGACAGAGCTGTCGTGCTCGGAGGTACCTCAATCTTGTGAGGTGCCTTCTTCACCTTGATCATGATTTTCTTCTTCATCTCCTCGAGTAGAGGAAGACGGAAACGGGGGTCAATGCCTTCAAGTGACTTATCGACGAGCATGTCGCCCCATTCCTCCTTCATGATTCTGACCATAACCTCTTGTTGCTCAAGATCCGCGTGGACCTCGAGGCTTATGATGAGTGGCAGCTCGTTGGTCTCAAAGGCTGACTCGCGAACGGCCACGCAGACCTCACGGAACCCGCAAGGCGTCGTCAAAGTCCAGCCGTGGGTGACGATAGGTTCATCCTTTGGATAAGGCAGGCGAAGCTTGCTCGGAGTGGGCGATGTAGGACGAAGGGTGTCGGCGAGGGACTCAACAGAAGCACTCGGTCCAAGGACAGTGGTGCTGTCGGCTGGTCCAAGCGATCTGCTAGCAGCACTGGGGTTCCTGCTATGGCCATGCTCATGTCCGCTTCGTTCGCTGCCCATGAATTCTTCGACTTGGCCCTTGATACTAGCTGCGACATTGGGAAATGACGATCCAGAGAGATTCCTCGAGTGCTCGGGCTTAGGCGACCGGGATCGCTCCTGTGTTGTGATAGGGGTGTCTCCGTTCCAAACATCGATTTCGATGCATCGGCACCCTCTCCGAAGAACCTGCGATTACATTAGTATGGGAAAAGTCTACCGCAACGTAAGTGAGACTGGGCGAGGCATACTGTTTTGTAGGCTTCTGGGTCACTCGTAGAAGCCAGTTGGTTTCCTACGAGATATGTGTTGTGGCTACTGCTGATAAAGTAGTTCGACAAGGGCTTGCTGAGATCCTTGTCTTTGGTATTCAGAGGTCGAGTAGCCTCCAGGCCGTATTTCTTCCACCAAAATTCGAAGAATTCAGGCCAGGTATATCTTTCCTTCTCTTCAGGTAGAACATCTTCGACGTCGGTCTCGCCTTGGACGCTCTCGAGGAACGCGATGAATTGCTCGCGGGTCACGAAAGGGGTGCGAGATATCGAGGAGCGGCGGGATCGGATGTCATCGAACACCTTCTTCAGGCGGTTTTGGATGGCAAGGCTACCGTCGAATGCTTGTGGGTTCGAGCAAATAGTTTGGATCTCTTTGGGGTCGATAGAAGAGGAGGAGGGTTCGGTGGCACCATCGACATTGGTAATATCGATCCGGGGTGTTGGGGGTGCTAGAGGCGCGAGTCGGAAGTGGGAGCCTCTGTTCGTGGGTGACAGTAGAGTTGTGAAGTCGACCATCTTCCTCAAGGCGCCTTCAGAGTCCTTGTTCGTGTTGTTAAAGAGGGGCATCGTGAAAGTGCGCTTCTTGGGGGCCCTTTCGTCGCCAGGAGCTTTGCGGCGTCGGAGCTGGACAGTATGTCAGCTTGAAACAAGCTCGGTGAGCAGAGCATTGGGGTCCCTAGACATGAGGATGTCGGGAACGTCTGTGAAGGGGCACGATTGGCAGTTGAAGGGATCGGGCCAGGAGCTTCATTTCAAAAGCCCCTAACCGTCAGATTGACGGGCAAGACGTACGTAGAGACACATGGTGATCTAGCTATGGCGGCTAAGGAGCACGCTTTCTACTGTCGGTGGTGTTGATTGGAGTCCAAGGGAAGATAGTTTCGCTAACGGGAACCGGTCGATTGACGTAAGAGGGGGTCTAGAATCCTGCTGAATAGCCTTCTCTGGAACTAGGAAGGCAGAGGTAACGGCTTCGCAGTTTCGGTCGATCGGTCGTCAAGCCATTGGAAGCTAAAACGGTTCGGATGTAGGAACGAAGGTGCAGGAATTAGTTGAAGCTGAGATAAAACTGCAGTTTCCAGGGCAAAGATTGAGGATTGAGAACGAGGCATTGGGATTGGGGGGAAAGGAAGAGCAAGGGCAATTTCAATGGAGTGGAAGCGTGGTTATGCATGTCAGCAGCTGAAGACATGGGGGCAATGGGCAGCCTCGTGTGGTGGTGTGGCAGGTGTCCAATGGGAACCGGACAGCACTGCCCCGATGGTCTGGATCCCTGCCGAGGGTGGTTACGGCGGTCTCCAGTCGTCCCCGCCGACCTGGTCCAGTGGTCCCGGTGCAGCTTTCTAGCGTGGGTGCTCCCTACCTTTCCACTGAGACCGTGACTCTCGGTAACGCAGATAGGGCAGTGGCAGTGGATGGGAAAGGCGGGCGAACTGGGCGGGCCATGACGGAATGGCCCATTTCTCCCCTGAATCCATCTTCTTGTTTCGTTTTCCATGTTTGTTATGTCGGAGCCTGATTTTCCCATTGATTCTCTGTTAAGAACAGCCGGGTTCGAAGAATGCTGCCTGCTTCAGCTGCTTCAGGACGCGTCCTGCGCATATTTCCTTCCACGGGCGATGAAGCTCCAGCTGTCAGACGAGTGTGCCATCGAAAATGCCTAGCCTGCTCAACCTGGACACAATTGGCTGGGTCGATCAGTTGTTGATCTCCTTGTGCTGCATGCACCGTGACAAGGCATCGCGTTTTTTGGGGGCGGAGTCTGCTTGTGATGCCCATTTTCTGCATCGCGACGTGGAGCGTCACACTCGCTGGCTTTCACTGCCTGGAAGCAAGGGGACTCGGAGCCCCAAAAAGCAAACATCTTCGGCAAAAAACAGGGCTTCTTCATTCGGCCCCCAATCGCGCCTCGCCTCTCGTTCCACGATTGGGGTACATGTCCCGCACCGCGCTATTGGGTGTTGGTAAGATCCGTAAGCTGTTAGTGTAGCTGGCTTTCCGTAACGATCACGGAGCCCGAAGGTTGGTCGTACGGATTGGCCGATGACCGAAAATGGTCATTTCGGGTTAGCGGCCTTGCCGTACTAAAATTATCTTCTCGGAAATCCAGAGAGCACTTCGACCGTCAACACGGGTTTCGGCCCCACCAAGTTCCAACATACGAGATTGCATAACCTTATGAAGAAAACGGTCAATTGAGGCATCCAAGTGTGCATCATACTTTGTGCAGACATCCTGAGACTGAAGGAACTGCCGTCGAATGTCGCCTCCCCTTCGCTCTATGGAATTCATGTGCTAATTCAGGGGCGAATTGACTTCTTGAGAATGAGCCAAGATGAATCCCACGCGGAAACATACCCCAATTACCTTCGACAGCGGCACGTCGAAACTCAATGCAGGATGGCGCAGCTGGGTTAACCGCAGTACTTTCCAAGTTAAGGTTGCCGGGACCCACTTCCTCCCGGACCGGACCGCACGCCGGGCCCCGAGTCTGATCCCACGAACGGCTCCCACCGCCAAGCGGATCCACACTGTGGATCCCCGTTCCGGCGGACCCGGGAGTACCACCAAGTAGCACGGTCGAGTGTCCAACAACCGTCAAGCCAAGATGGCACCTCGGCTAGCTTGAAAACGATTCTCACATTCTATCTAGAGTCGCACATTAATCCCTACTTTGCTAGGAACAGAGCGCATGCATGAATGCGACGTCGATCAACGACTATAGCCGACTCAGTTTCCTCGAGGAGCCGTCTGCGTCCAAATAGGTTTGACGGTGCAACGAACGCTCACTTCCAAAACCGCCCATGATAGAATTATACGGCTTCGTCCCACTCGGCAAACTCCTCCATTGCCAGTAATCCAAATAGTCGTTCTTCTTCCCCTCAATTCGATCCACGACATGCTCGCCGAGGTTGGGCAGGAACTTGAAGCCATGACCGCTGCCGCCCGTGGCAACCATCAACCCGTCTACTCCAGGGACAAAATCAATGACGAAGTGATTGTCGAACGAATCCGTGTACCAGCAGAGCCTCGTGGTCATGTCGCATTCGAGAAGCTCGGGGAAGTGACTCTGAACGAAGCTCCTGATCACGCGCGAGGCCTTCGCGGGGATCTTCCGGATCGTCTCTTGCGTCCAGCGGGTAATCGGGACGCTTCTCGCCGCGCCGTCTGCCTGCGTCTGCGGGTTGGTGAATTTCGTGCCGCGGTACCCAATCTTGACAACGCCAGCGGAGTCTCGCGCGAACCCGTACAGCCCACCTTCCGCGCCGCGACGGATGTTGTACCTGATGAGTGGAGGTTAGCATTGCTCCGTATATCTGGGGGGTCATACTTACGACCACGTGGGGAAGTTCTCGGGCGCAAACTTGTCCCATAAAGGCATCTTGGGTCGCAGCTGAAACATCGCGACGCTGCCCGCTGTGGTCTCGCAAAGATTGTCCAGCTGCGTGAGAAGCGAGGGCGTCCAGCCGCCGCAGGCCATGATCGTCAGTTCTGCGGGGTGAGTTCTGCCGTCGGCCGTCTTCACGCCCGTGACTCGTGACTCTGAGTTCTCCAGGAAAGCGGAGAACGTGCCCCCGGGGCCGCCCAAGACAGTCTTCACGCCCAACGTTTCTGCTTTGTGAAGGGCGAAACGGCATGCTTTATCGGCATACACGAAGCCGGACTGGGTATCGAGGATGCTGGAGTCGTTCTTGATGTCGAAAGCGTCCACGGCGAAGCCGAAACCCTTCGCCACGGCCCTTTCGACATGCTCTGGGTTGTGGAGGTTGATCTGCGTTTCTCTCAATCCGACTTTGTCCATGTTCTGGATTGTGTCTTCCTCGAATCGGTCGAGGGTCAGGCCCGAGGTCATGGTGACAGTTCCATTGTTGACAAACAGTGTGTCGTTCCGGGAGAATCCCGGCGGAAGTGTCTTCCCGGTCTTGATCTCCTCGTTCCAGGACTTCCACTTTGCGATAGCATCGAGTGCCAGCGTTTGATACTCGAGCTGCGAGCCGTAAGCGGCTCGAATGATCTTGTTCACATCTATTCAAAAATGAGCGACGGCGCATTTCAAGGACGTGCGATTCCTACCAGCAGAAGCAGCATCGCAGCCTCTGTCATATGAATATTCCGATTCGTGATATGGCTGCTTATCGATGACTTTCACATTGGTATATCCACGTTCGGCCAGGTGCAACGCGGTGCTCAGTCCGAAGACACCGGCACCTACGATCACCACGGGGGCGGACTTGCTGGAAAGGGATGGCGACATGAGAACAGATGGATAAAGAGATAAGGATCAACAATCAGATGAGTCGCAGGGAGAAACTCGAGCATGTTATTTCAACGCATTGATCAGAAGCGCAACGTCTCCCCGGAACTTGGCTGTTGACCGTAACAGGGTCATGGATCTGGGAGCGGAACCAATAAGCATCGCTTTTCGTATACTTCCGGATCGGCCCCGCAATTGCCTCTCCCCTCCTTTTAGCCGCATTGGCTCCTCCGAAGGGACGGAAATCGCTTCTCTTGTCTGGCTTCAATTGGTTCTCACGCAATCAATATCATATCGAAGAAATGTCACAACCGATCCGGAGCCGACCGGCCAGAGGTTCTGCTACGCGCGTGCGCACCGGCAGTAGAACCCTAGCGGCATGCGTCAGTTGCAAGGATAGGAAAGTCAGGGTCAGATTGCATGCTTGACCTGCTTGTAGATTCGGTTTGCTGAGATAGTCTCACAGTGTGATGAACAAATTCCAGCTTGCAGTAGCTGTCTGCGCAACAATACTGGTAAGTTCCAGGAGAGAAACTCTGGTGGACGGCCGGTAACCAACCATTCCTTCTAGTCTGCCTCGTGGAGGACCCCGTCACAAAGCGACATCAGCCCCGAAACTATCTCGAACTCCTAGAACAGCGAGTTCTCACTCTGGAGCGTCAGTTGCACGAGACAAACTCCATTCTGACCAACACGTGTACTCCGCTCGATGTTCCCCCGCTCACCGCAGACCAGTCAGTTACGGACTCTAACCGACCTACTGAGACCGACGCGGATAGCCATGCAGATGACCTGGCCTCTATGGTTGGGACCTTGAGCCTGAACGCGGCTGGAGCCGAGCCCAGCTATCTAGGACCTTCCTCCACCTTCGCCTTCACCAGATTCCTGAAGCTATCGATGCGCCAGGCGATCGGTCCACTATCGCCAAATGTGTCTGAGCAAGACCCTGACCGGTATAACGCGCTGGCACCGGACCCATGTCTACTGCCGGACTACCAAACGGCTCGTCAATTGAGCAATGCATACTTTGAAAATGTGCACGCGCAGTACCCATTCTTACATGAACAGACGTTTAGGGAATGGGAAGCTGCGTTAGCAGATCCATCGGAGGCTGCCGCCGCTTGGAACCTTGGCTTCTTGCCTCTGTATTTTCTCAACATGGTATGATTGCTCATGGTCAAATCAAATCCGAAGTGGTTGTCTCTGACAAGGCTTCTAGGTCTACGCTGTTGGGGCTACTTTGCTCCCGAATATGGGCTACGCCGCAGAACAGCTCTATGCCTCAGCCATGCTCTACATAGACGACATCATCAGTCATGACAACCTGGAATCAATACAGGCCGTCCTGTGCTGCGCCGTCTACTCCATACGTTCTACGAAAGGCATATCGCATTGGTATGGACCGCTACGTTGCGTGAGGTGTATTACGTGCGTGAGGCTGATTCCCGTATAGGAAGTTGGCTGGACAGGCATTGCGCCAATGCATCAATCTCGGCTATCATCGCGATCACAAGCGTTTCAAATCGGGTGTCAGTCCCTTCCAACAAGAGATGCGAAAGCGCGTCTTTTGGAGTGCGTATGTAATGGAATGCGCAGCCGCCGTGATGTTGGGACGACCTCTAGGCCTTCATTTCGAGGAGATTGACGTCGAGGTAAAGCGTCACTGTTTCCATGTCTGCCGAGCAGCTGTTAACGTCGAAAAGTACCCTCTTGATATTGAGGAATCTCAACTTGTACCAGACGGTGTAATAGGATCAGCTCGTTCCTCCACAGACACCCCGACGATGATGACCTACGCAATCCATGGCTTCAAAGTCCGCATTCTCCTAGGCCGCATACAGACCGCGCTGTACTCAGACTGTACAATCATCAGTACGGAGGAACGTCAAAAACGGATTCAAAAGCTATCGCTCGAGCTCGACAAATGGTGGGCCGAATGCCCTCAGCCCAGGGCACCTCCGAGGGGCGGTGCCTTGTCGTTCTACCGGACGCCGGACTTTTACGAGATCAACCGAAACTACGCGATACTGATGTTGTACCGCACGCAGATGACGGACACCAAAACACCTGCCCCGGACGAGGTCTTCCTGAAGTGCATGCAGGCCGCCCAGAACACGTGCCACAGCTGTCGCCGCCAGTTCCTCGGCAAGAAGACGGCGTACACTTGGGGCGCGGTCCACGAGCTGTTCCTGGCGGGATTGACGTACGTATACTGTCTATGGACGTCCGCGGCGGCCAGGGCGGCGTCGCGACAGGACCAGGCGAGCAGCGTGTGCACGGATTGCACAATGGTTCTTGTGATTCTGGCGGAGCGATGTAAGGACGCGGCGCCCTATCGGGACATCTTCGAGGTGCTCGCGAGCCGGACCATGACCATGCTGGCGGATCTGCAGCAGGGCAAAGCCGTCGAGACTGTTGCCATTTCTCACGGCCAGAGATACTGCCCGGAGGAGTTGCCCCAGTGGATGGAGGGAATCACGCACACTGGGTATGCCTCCGGCGTGGACCGGCTTCTGAGCGAGCTGATCGACGAGTGTCCCGCATCTGAGGCAACCCAATATGAACCGCTAAGCTGGAATACCTAGCATATCAAGTCGTGCCTTTCATTACGAGGAATGTATGGCAACCTTCATTAATAAAAAACTTTGTAGCACACCGGGCATAGCAGCACCCCGAGCCTTCAACTAGATAGGTGACTATCTTGAGCTCGACTAAGATGGGGACCAGCCCCGTACCCGGAAGAAGACGAAGGGCTCGTCCGATTGGGTCAGCCTCGTAGACTCTTATCATAATGAAAGATGGGTCAGCATCCATCACCAATACCAGCAGATCAGCATGAATAAGAAGGAGCCAGGGCACGTTTATTCCAGCACGGTCATGCGTCCCCTGTCATCCACTCGAAATCGGCAAAACGCCATCAGAAATCGGACTCGTTATCAAGATGGCGGCAAGGCAGACTCTCAACAGGCCCGGCTACAGCTCAACGTATCTCTCCGAAGCCACGATTCACAACGGCGTGGTGTATTGCGCCGGCAAAGTCGGGCTTGATCCTGTTAGCGGGCAACTCGTGTCGGACGATGTCGGCGAACAAACGGTATGTATTTGCAGAAAGAAAGCCACTTGCATCGCTGAAGTTGGCGTCCAGGCAGCCGCGTTGAACCTGCTCAAGATGGTGCTCGCTTCAGCCGGGAGCGATTTCACCCAACTTCTCAAGGTCAACATTCACCTGACCAGCATGGCGGACTTCGCAGCCATGAACGAGGTTTGTATGTGGTCTACTGTTAGGTTTTGATGATATTTGCACACGAGAACGTTAACCTTCTATCAGACATCGCCATGATCCCCGAGCCCAGGCCTGCTAGAATCTGTGTCGGTGTGACGGAACTGGGCAAGAATGCTAAGGTGCGTGTTCCCCTGGTCTCGGTAGAAAGCTGACGATCCTGACGAAGCTCTGAAGGTGGAGGTGGACTGCGTTGCTATCGCTGGGAAGCTGTAAGCTCCTCGACTCACACTTCTCATTGCGTGGGGGGTCCCGACACTGATAATAACGGAGAACTAGGTCCAAACTGTGAATCCGTGATATGCAACAGCACTCATGGAATAGTCCTTCCGGGGTGGCATTCGTTCCAATACCTTACTTTGTTGCGCATCTTGTAAACGACCAGAATAAGATGGACTGGCTTGGTCAGTGTAGTTATCAATATGAACATGAGTCGTCCAACTTTGTGCGCGGGAGCCTACATGCGGCGGCCCCTTCTAGGAACAATTCTATATGATTTGATGTTACTTGCTACAGGCTGTCACCAACTGTGTGTCGTTAAGCGACTTCATCCTGATATCCTCACTCCGCAGCAAAATGCCGGAGGCCCTCACTGAGTCTCTTTATCTCAACGACGACCGGTAGTAGAGGCAACCATTTGCCGGCCGGATCTCGGTAAGACCCGACCGGCTCAGTCCGAGATAACGACCGCCTTCCGCAGACTTACACGTCAGCCTTGGTCTGAAGTGTACTTCAGCCGGGGTCCCCTCACATCAGGTAATCCACGCGAACCACCATCAGATAACCGAGCGTTATCTAGAACGCGGGGTAATAAGCCGTGGAGAGCCCCCCTCACTAGTGCTCCATGGGTCACCAACAACTCCTTTTGATACGGAGTCGTGGGTCACGCTTCGGCAGGACACGAAGAAGACTCCTGATTGGTCATGCGAACTTATCAACATGAGAATGTCCGACAGCTCTTCATTTAGAACCGATTCAGAAGCACAGCTGCATCAAGACCAATGAGCAAAAGACCATAAATCAACGATGCTCCTCTCATTGACCATGTCCAAGCAAATCACCCCCCTAAGTCCACCACGCCTTCGAACTCCCTCCGAAAGATGACGACCCGGCACATCCTGCAAAAGTCGCCGCTGGCCGGCTACGGCAAGGCGATCCGCGAGGCGCCCCGCGAGACCATCTTCAACCGCCCTCTCCTGCTGTCCTCCCTCGTCTACGCCCTCGGAGGCATGCCCGTCAGTAAGTTCGAAACCCAACTCTCATAGCAACCTCGTCGTCTCCGGGAACCGGATTACTAAAGGCCAAACCCAGTCTGGGACCAGGGCGCGTCCTCCGTCATGCCCTCCCTCCCCGGCTTCCAACACCACTTCGGCATCAGCTCCGGCGCCGACGCGGACGAGATCCGGCTCTTCGTCTCCATCGTCTACGTCGGCTTCGGCCTCGGCGCCGGCCTGTCCTTCTTCCTCAACGACGTCCTCGGCCGCATCTGGTCGTACCGCCTGTACACCCTCGTCTACGCCGTCGGCACCCTCGTCGCCATCTTCGCGCCCGGCATCGGGGTCCTGTACGGCGCGCGCGTCGTCCAGGGCCTCGGCCTCGGCGCGCTGACCGTCTGCCTGCCCATGTCGATCGTCGAGATCGCCCCGGCCCCGATCCGTGGCTTCCTCGTCTCCTGGCTCAACCTCGCCATGGGCGCCGGCCTGATCGGTGCCACCTTCTGCACGCTGGGCGCCTACCGCCACGTCCCGGAGGGCAGGCTCCAGTTCCAGGTCGTCATGTTCGTCCCCCTGATCCACCTGGCGCTCTGCATGGTCGGCACGCTCTTCGTCGAGGAGTCCCCGCGGTGGCTGTTCCTGGCTCACCGCCGCGACGAGGCCATCTCCGGCCTCGCGCGGGTCCGCGGGCTCCCCGCGGACCACCCGCGCGTGGAGCGCGAGATCGCCGAGATCGAGCGGGACATCCGGCACGCGAGCGAGGCGGTCGGGAACGCGAGCTTCTGGGCGATCGCGCGCGAGACCTTCTCGACGGCGTCGAACCTGCGGCGCGTGCAGCAGAGCCTGCTGACGTACGCGCTCGCGCAGCTGTCGGGGGCGAACCTGATCACCTCGTACTTCGTCCCGATCCTCGCCATCGTGGGGATATCGGGCGGGACGGACCACTCCATGTTCCTGAGCGGCATGTACGGCGTGTCCAAGTTCTTCTTCATGCTGATGGCGACGTTCCTCTTCGTCGACGCGCTCGGCCGTCGCAAGTCGCTCTTCGTGGGCGCCGCGCTGCAGCTGGTGTCGCATGTGTATCTCGCCGTCTACGTGAAGTACACCCAGTCCGGGCCCGTACCCGAGGCTGCTTCCAATGCCGCCGTAGCTGCTCTGTTCATCCACGCCTTGGGCTATGCCGTCGGTAAGTATCCCCGGGCTGTCTCCGGTCTCTCTTTCGCTAGCTGACCTTTTGCGCAGGATTGTATCTGCTGCCGTACATCTTCGGCGGCGAGCTGTGGCCCAATCGCATCCGGTCGTTTGGCGGCGCCCTCAGCCAGACGTTTCACTGGTTGTTCATCTACGGCATGCAATACTCCATGCCCTCGATCCTGTCCAGCTTCAATCAGTGGGGGGCTTTCCTGTTCTTTGGGGCGTGGTGCGTTGTGGCGCTCCTTTACACCTACTTCATGATACCCGAGGTGTCCGGGTTGACGGTGGAAGAGATCGAGGAGACGTTCAAAGGTTCGTGGTTCAATGCTTACAAGACCACGAAACGGACGGTCATAGAAGGTCGGGTGGAGGATGGTTTTGGGCACGATGCTGAAGACGGAGACGACGGCATGCACAAGTCACCTGCCACCTGATGATACCAAAAAGTACTTTTGGACAATGCAATTCTTCAAAATGCCTATGTCGATGACCTAGAGGGGCGTTTTCGGCCAACATATGCCGCCAAACGCGAGATTTCCCACGCCCAATCAGCAAATCGAGATGGTTGGTAAGAAGTACGCTGAAGCCGTCTGCCGCCTCAACACGGGTCTGGCAAAGAAGCAGTTTCACGGGTTTACTGAGCTTCCTTATCTTACCCTCAACCCGTGGGCGGTGTAAGTGAGACAAACACTTCCACGGACTTCAACCGGCAGCGCTTTCGTTTTGGCAAGCAGAGCCGCCAAGCCTCACCTTCGAACGCAAGGGGGTGTGATAGTTGTGTTGTTGTCATGAAGCTGGGTCTCCATCTCAAAGTGAGTCTGAATATTATCAGCAAGACTCATTGACTCGTTTCCGGACGCCGCAATGTAATTTTTCGTGAATATAATTACGATCGGCCCCGTTTTTCGATATCGAGAAAATTGTTCTCATGGTGACCCAGCAGCCTTACGAGAGATCAAGTGTCATGTAAATGACGAAAGCGGTCGAGGCTAAATGAAGTCATCTTACGATGTAGTCCATGTGGTCGTTGATTCAAGATGTCGTCGAGGTAATCACGGCGCATGTTTGTGCACAAATGAAATATGCAGTTGGTCGAATGCACAACTCAGGTATGCATCGCTGTATGTGGGGCCGACCGCCGCATTAAAGCAGCGACCTCAGCTCAGCTCGAGCTCGTCTTTCGGCACAGATGCTGCCGGTGCGCACCCCAGCCATCTCACAATTTCGTTGTAATCATCTCGATTACGATTGTCCTGCAACGACGTCAAGGCAGACGCAGCTGCTGGACGGATGATCTGATATTCTGTCTGTCAAGCCCACCTCCGCAAAAGCACGGATTCATCGTCATCTTGACGCCAAAGGAGCCATGAACGAAATGAAATGCGGTCTGAGAAAACCCTGACAAGTCCCCCCCCCTGCTGGCGTTCCAATCGAACAAGGTATTATTTAAAGCAGGGACGCACGACGTGGAAACTCTGGGGGGTGGTCGACGATCCCCATCAAACGTGATATCATGAACATGCTAAGGCTGGTTGACGGGGCCGGACGACGGTTGCTAGCGACCAACACTGAATCAAGGGCGGATGAGGTCTCCACCCAGTGACATTCTGCGTTGCGCGTTCTCGAACTGTCGACGTCGAGACAGGAGACAATTCCCCGACTGTCGATCGCGTCGCCTGCTGAAGACATTCTGGCGACCGGTGCTTCGTTCTCCATTCTTCGAGCTTGTCAACTCGTGTCTTCCACTCCACTGCATTTCCGCTTGGTTGTGGTTGGGGCTGCGCCTCCGGAGACCGCCTCTCGGGGCCCTCGCCACCCCATCCGGATCGGGGAAGCCTTCGGTCGGGGTCAAGTGGGGGCGTGCAGCAGTTGACAACTCGTCGGAAGCGTGTGAACGGAGCCATCAGGTCGCACGAATTAAACCTCACTCAACGACGTCTGACATCGACGCGACATCTGGCCCGAAGAAAAAACTCAACGGCGCTGCGCATTTCTCTCGCACGTACCGCCGACGACTGAAGGTGCCCGCCACGCCATTTTCCAGTTGTTAATCGGAACGGTCGGCCTGCTCTCGGGCCTGATCGAGGAGACTACCCCGCGCAAGCACAGATCTTGACATATCGTCTTTGTGACGTAACCGCAGCAACTCTTGACCATCATCTGCGGCGCTTCGTTTTACATCGCCTAGAATCAAGTCAGCAAGAGCACTTTCCGCGACCAATCCCCTTGCATCCTCATCTCAAGGTGGCACAAGTCTCTAGCTATGGCTACCCAACGCAGCAAAGAAGCCGAAGTCAAGTCGTGGGGATTTCCCCACGTCTTCACCTGGACGGATGGACCGTAAGTTGGTTCTCGTCGACGATAGCGGGGACCGCCAGTCTGTAGTAGTAGTAGTAGTAGTCGATGCGGGTTTCCCGATACAGTGGCAGCAGTTAACATCTGAGATCAGGAACGCGCATTATCCCCCGCATTCGCATCGCGGTCTGACAACCCATCTGATCCTCAGGGGCAGCTTGACCATCACATATCCAAAGGATGAGCAGCCCGAGAAGGTTGCCTATGGTGTCGGCGACCGCATTGATGTCGATGCTGGCCGCGTGCATGAGGTTTGGATTGGCGATGAGGGTTGTACCTATGTAATTGGCGAGTGAGCATTTCGCATAGACAGAATTCATGAAGTCTTACCAATGAAAATGTTCCTCTGCGTGTCCCAAAAGTCTTGCCGATCATCTTGACAAGCCTCCCCGGAGATCCAAAAGCGTGTACGCACGATTCCCATAGAATGAATAGGTTCTGATTCTCGTGAAGTCATCGTCTTGATTGGAAAGATCGACCCGAAGGCTTGCGTCCGCGACAGGGCTGAACCCTCTGCGAGATCCAGATGCGAGCCCCGACGGTCTTGGCCACAGAGTTGACCAAGTTTAAGTTTGGTCTTCTCAATGCAACCACTTTATCACTCAGAACCGAACGCCCGGTCAGAGCGTTGGTCCCCTTTTCTGAGCCTGAAATCAACCGCACCGGATGACCTGCCAATGCCGCCGGAGGTCAAACCGCACATCATCGAGCATAAGTCATGGCCGGGCGTGCCTATTGTCGAGGTTTCAACGCAAAATCGAGCCGCTGCGCCAAGAAGCAGCAAGCTCTTTGGGATATCGGCTCAGCATGCGCGAAATGCGACCTCAGTCGAGATGTCCGCGGGTGCACCACCTTGCATGACAAGCTGATTGAAGTTCAGGAGAGTCGAAAACCGAATCAAGACCTGGAAATCCTCTGCGTTAGTTAGTAGTCAGTCACAGGAGCGCTTGAGCAACTCCAGGAAAATAGAATTCGCCCTCTCGTGGTGAAAGAAACGACTGTGAAACATGGAGGAGTCCTTCGCCCGTGCACCGTACAGAGCAGTTTTGAATGTCTCCCGACTCATTCAGGGGACCGGAGACGCAAACGTTCCGGAAGGCCATGGAACCCCGACCTCTTGCCGATGGCCTCGTCCGTTCAATGCGGAGAACTGACTCATATCCGAAGGGCAATATGGCGAAAGTGTTGGGACGGGAAATCCTACACGCGCTTGAGCTTTGTGGGGACCGAATGTGTGCAACTCTCGATGGATCTTGACCAAGAAGGTATGTAACAGTCGGGATGTGGCGGTATCTTCGAGATGTTGGCTAGCCTTCTAAAGCAGGCACTCTTCTTAGTCGGGTCTGGAATCAATCCATTTGCCTCCTAGGCCAACTCGGACGGCGTTGACGGATGGCAGTTGGGGAAGTCTAGGCGCAGTATGACCATAGCAGAGGTCTGATATCGAACAATAGCCTGGGCCATAGCAACAACGCGCGTGTCCAGCTCTTCGTCCGTGGGCGCTTGGGCGTCAACGTTCTTCGCCTGTTGTCGTCCCATTGTCTCTTTTCTATTGCCGGCAGCTGCCAAAATCACCTGCAACGCAGATTGTGTCTGGTCGACAGCATGGTTTGGATGACCACGAATAACTCTCAACCACGTCGAGTCATTGTAGCCCTGTCGTCAGCCTTGACTCAAGACCGCGCGGAAGACACGAGGTCGCCATTGTCTTGGGATGGTATATGCAGATGGCTCGGGAGAAGAGCGGTCACCGAGGATGGAGCGAGTACGTGCGATGAATCGCGCACCGATGACTGACGTGGACAACGCTTGCGCAAGTTTGCTTCAAGTTGAGAGATGAGAGACAAGAAACAGTTTCTTTTTCCGAACAGCCGGCGGATGTCGTGCGTTGACCAGCGGCAACAAGCCAAAGAAAAAAAAAACGAAATTGGCAAGATGAATGGAGCGCAGATCAATCTGGCTCAAGGCGCAACCATTCTCAGGTTGCATGATCATCCGGCCTTAAAATATGGAGCTGCCGTGCCGTTCCATACGCGGTGAGATGCTCCGACGGTGCAGGCTACGTGATGGCAGCCGTTTCGACTTGTTATGGGTCGAGTGCGTACTTCCGACGTTGGACGCCAACTGCGGAGAAGAGCCCGTCATCTCGTAATCATCTTCACCCAATATCTCTGTCAAAGGTGCAAAACTGCTCCTACGAGCAGGGATAGACTGACAAACGCTGTCGGCCAAAAAAGCGGTCTCAGTCTCAGCGATGCTGCGGGTTGGTGGGGTTCGAACTGATAACAGACATGATAAGTTTGAACGGCGGAAACACCGCCCACTGAGTGAACATCAAGTACACGGTACATTCAGCCATCTCAGACTCCCTGAGATTCCTGGAGACAGTCTTGCTCGTAAGCCATGTGGCCCACGAGTTCCACGAGCGCCCCAATGGATTCAAGGGACCACCCGACTGTGTCTTCGGCCGAACGACAAATTGAAGCAGCAGTGGACTTGTCTTCTGGCGAGTCAAGAGGCGCAAACAACGGGCGATGGCCGGGTGCGGTACAGAGTGCAGAAACCTGGTGAGTGAAGTGCAGCGCAGCGTCTCATTCTCAAGTGTCTGAGACCAACGTCGGCCAGGAGTTGTAAGCAAGGAACAATGTCGGTACCGTTGAATCCTGGGCGTTGTCGTGCACTTTTGGCGACTGCAACCGTGCAACGTCGCTAGGAGCTTTTTCCTGACGGTTGACCCAGTCCACTGGCTGTCATTCCAACCAGTCGGAGAATTATCCACGTCAAAAATTGTGCAGACGGTGAATGTGATCTCGATGGCGGCCGTTGTCCGTTCCCCAGCGCGAGTGTTTCGTACCACCAGCGCTGAAAACAAGGCCTTATGTGCCAGAATGACGTTCCCACAACGTGGTTCGCAGAAGCTGCTGAGGCTCTTTTGTTCATGATTAGATGTGGGGGACGGTAACACTGGAAACAGGCAAAGTAAATTGCGTTGCACGGTCGATGAGGTCTGAATGATCTCAACCGTTGTTCGTCGACTTTTCCGTCTCGTTGTTCCAATCGAGGATGCGGCCGAGAAATGGCAATTTCACGAACCCTTGAACCTTGTCTGCTCGGTGCACAGCGCCAGGTCTGATGGGGGAGACAATAGATTGGCCGCAGTGACACCAGGATGAGGGCATCTCGGCGTGCTAGGAGGTTGGAGCAATTGCCAATAGTCAGTCAAAGGCGACGCATCGTGTTGTTGTGTTGTCTCGGTATTGACAACACTCCGATATTGCTGTGTTTTCGTGTAGGGTGCTGAAAGCAGCGTCTCTGATTTGACGAAAGGAGAGGAATAAAGTGCTTCCATGCAGGAAGCGAATACGTGCTTGAGCACCGTCTGAATGTCGACACCTTATTCCAGAAGCATAAGGAGGATGGCAGGGAATGGTTTCCCAGTGGTTGCGGGCAGTCTCAGAGTGTCTTGTCCGAGGTTGAAAGAGTGGCTGATGGTTGTTGATGATCGACGACGGGCATCCCTTCGCATGCACGAACTGCATCGGGTTCTCAGAAGTCTCTTGGTGAGTTGACCAAGCATGTTGCCTGGAAATAGAGTGAGGAGCGGGGGTTAGTGAGGAGGATATGCTGGTCTTAGTAAGTTCCGAGTGCCCCATCCAGTCAAGTGGCACACTCTGAAACGAGGACGCTTCTGAGCCTCAAGGGCGACAACAACAGTGTTGGGCACAGCCATGAGACCAAGTCACATAGCAGCAGAAAATGGTTGCATCCACGGCGAGGGAGATGAGAGACAGACGGCAACGGGCGGCGGCCGAAAGGGACAACGAGAGACGAACTGGTGATTTGCGTCTCCCACAGACGGGCAGAGCACGTCAAAATATGGCGAGATGAGGGGAAGGCATCCCTGTCGCTTCCGTCCACGTCCAGCGCGGCGGTCGGAGTCTGTGTACTCGATCTATCCGTAGAGGATCCGAACCAGGCGGAAAGTAGAAGTCGGCCGTCGCAGCGTAGTACGAAAACGAGGGCGGGGGAGAAGAAGAAAGATGGCACATGAGCGGGCGAACCGGGTCAAACAGAAGTCTGGATCTGATATATGGTAGGATCGAGAAGAATAAGATGAGGGGAATTTCGAGGTGAGGCGATGCGATGCGATGCGATGCGATGCGGTGCGATGCCAGTGCCAGTGCCACGAGACGGGAGTCGGCATCGGAAGAAAAATATGCGATGGTCTGGGGAAGCAGTCCGGATTTGATCGGCTTTGTTGGATTTTGAAATGTCTGGATTGAGATTAGGACATGGGATAGGCTGATGGGAAAGTGAGGGTACCAGAGGACGCATGAGGTTGGTCCAGCAGGCGCCCGGGGCTGAAAGGAATTGACCACGTCTGGCAAAGCAAAGCAGGGCAGCAAGGTAAGACACGGCAGGCATGGAGAAGCTCATGCAATAAACGTGGTCTGGCCGTGGACGAGCTCTGGGGTTTGGAACGGACCTAACGCAAGGCAAGGGGAAGAGACAGAATAAGGTAGTAGTGATATTGGATAACAAGGTGATAGTAGCAACGGAGTTGGAAGCTTACAAAGATCACAACGTGGTGGCTTGACGGACTCGGGATAGGACGGGAAAGGGAGGCGCTCTCGGCTTGGATTTGCACTTGCACTTGCACCTTCCCCTCACTTAGGTTTGATGAAGCACCTTCCATCCAGGTCCCATCTCATATACAGATAAGGTAGGTATTTTGATACTTTGATACCTTAGGTAATCGGTAGATGCAACTGCAGCAGGAGAAGGAGCGGCCAGGCACCAGGCAGAAAGTTGTGCCTTCCTTCGTCCTCATCGTCCTCACATCAGGCTGAGGTGTTCCTTCCGTTTCCACAGTGAGCGGCAAGGGAAGGAAGAAAATACATGAGGCTGGGCGGGCACCTTCCAGGTTGTTTGGATGATGTTGGACGGGAAGGAGCAAACGGCGAGACCAAAGCACCAGGCACAGGCACAGGCACAGGCACAGGCACAGGAACAGGAACAGAAACAGAACCTTCCACCAACCTGCCCCAAACACCAAAACACCAGAAAATGGAGGTTCCCGATTCTCTGGCTGCGCTAAAATTCTCCATCGACGGTTACGGATGCCTTTCCATCTTCCTAGCGGGCGGAGCACCTCGCGACAGACGGCTCTAGCGATCGCCCTCGCGCTAAAACACACCCACCACCGTGTTCGAGCTAAGTCTGACGCCCCCAAATCCCCCCATCTAAGCCAATTTTCCCCTAAAGGAAATCACTAGCTCAATCTTGGCCAAGAGGAAGCCGATCCGGGCGAGGCATCCCCGAAATTTCCAAGAGCGAGAAACAAGCCCAGAAACGCCTAGTTGGCAAGCCACCGTTCAATCATCATTTCTCTGCCTCCAACGTCGAGAAAACAATGGACGATGATGATGTCGGCAATGCTATCAGGGTCTGTCGACACACGAGAAATTATGACATCGATTCGTCCAGTATGAGCCAATCACCAAATCCGACGCATCACCATCATCATCATCAGAAGCAGCATGCACCCGAGCCACCACACCACACGCCACACACCACAATCACCACACATTTTACACAGATCTTGGATAACCACCGTCCATCGTCCGTCGCTCGTCGCTTCGTCCTGCATCCCGCATTGCTTCCTGCGTCCTGCCTCCTTCAGCTGAGGTGGCCCAGCTGCCTAAGCGTTCCGAGACACGGATTTGCGCCTTGTCGTCTCTCTCTTGCTCCTTACCTCCGTCGCCGGTTGCCGGACTTTGCAGAAGACGTCAACCCAGAACCTGCTTGAATTTAGGTACTGCGTATTGGCAATATCCCCCGCCGTACCGCGGTGCTGTCTGCACCTCGGACAAGCCTAATCAAAATCCGCCCCGCGCATCAGCTCCAACGCCAGCTCGGCCGGCCAGCTCGAACTTGAATGCCCGTATCAGATCATTACACTCGTTGTCCGGAGCCAGAGAGGGGCAAATATGCGCACTGCCAAATCCAATTTTTCAACCCAGCTGCAGTATGCAGTACAGAGTGTCCAGTCAGACAAAGGAAAGCCATCCTCATGCACTTCCACGAGAGTGGATAGCTTTCACCATGGCCATGGCTGTACCGCCGTGGCTGCCACGATTGTACTGCTCTGAGCCATCCTGACTGGAGAAGCTCTTTCAAGCCAACGGGACAGGACAAGGGCATCTGTCTTGCTGCCAAGGACCAACGCCAGACCCGGCCAGACCGCGATGAAATGGCATCAATCAGACGAAATACCATATTCCAACACCTTTCCGTCCACATGTCCATCGTCCTTCGCCCTTGTCCACATCCCGGCCGGGGAGCCACTCAAGATAGTCGCGGGTACCTCTGTACATGGTACTTCGACACCTCACCTCACCTTACCTTTACCTTACTTTACCCTGGCAAAAGGGAATACCACGGAGTCTAAAGTCCTTCAGACGAGGGATGCTCTGCCGGCGTTGCTCTGTCTGCGCTGCCTCCGCTTTTACTGGGTACTCGATACCGCTAGATGCCGCTACACCCATACGGATAGCCGTCCGGCACAACTTGGCACTCCCCCAACCACACACACACACACACAAGTTGCGTCCATCCACGTCCCGCTCAGCCAAGACGCATGCCACTGCAGCCCTGCATGGGCCAGCGACCAGCGACCTTGGAACTTGGAATAGCCCTGCCCATTCGCTGTCGCAGGCGGTACTTTGTCCCTTTCCGCCCTTCTACAACCCACCTTGCGCGTCTCAAACCATGTCCGTCGTCACCGTCAGTTCCACCTCCTGGTTTCTTGTGCATGGCATCTGTCCGACCAGAGATGCCATCTGAGGCCCATTCCTACACCACCACCACCACACGCTCCCGGTCCAAACTTGCTGTGCGGTATCCGTACTTCCTGCTCCCGCTCATAACTTGGTATAAGCGTGCACAAATCGCCACTGATCCCAGCAACTGACTCTTGTTGCCCCTGCCCGGTGCTTAACCAGGCGTTCTATGAGGTGGAGTAACCGTAACTGTCGGCTCCAATCGATAGACGCTCGCTCGGTCTGGTCCGGTGCGCAAAGCCTCAGACCCATGCCAGCTCTGCTTTAATTGCGCCTATCCCACCACAAACCACCGCCTTCCTCACTTCGTCTTGGTCTCCGTACGGCGATCTATTAGACCCTCGACTGCCCCCCCTTTCCTCTTCGCTTCTTCGATCGCGCTGGTTTCCGACCTCGTCTCATTTCACATTGAACAAGTTTTTGTTTTTTTCCTGAGCTTCGTCCAAAGGTCCAAGCTCATCACGCCACTATCCCGACCCTCATTGCTCCAGCGCAACTGCGAATTGGAACAGGGAGAAAGCGAACCAGCAAATCACAAAACAACAACACGAGCAGGTTCAGGAACATCTGCGCGGCATGGCAGTGTTAAGGTCGTCTTCATAACGCACTCCTACCGGCTGGACGCCCTAGTCCTACCTCTCGATTTCACCCAAATTTCCGCCTACATACCTCGCCGTATCTTCACCGGTTTGCAGTTGCGAACAGGTCCAGGCGAGTATCTAACAGCACACCGACGCTGCGAAAATGGGCAACACACACTCTGTCGAAACGATACAAGAGTCCGATATTCACAGCAGCCCCAGCAAGAGAGCCCCTCAAAAGCTATCCAAACCGAGAATCGGAAACCATGGCTCGACTTCGTCGACACCAGCAGCTGGCTTGGTAGGCAGCCCTAGCCGCACGCCCAGTCGCACACCCAGCCGCAACCCATCTGTCAGCCTTCCGCCCTCTCGATCCAATTCTCGAGTGTTCTCTCAAACGCATTTGCCCGAGCCGTCGACATCCAGTCCTCTGCCAACCGACACAGTCTCCCCGACTGAGAATTTCCCTCCAGTACCACCGGAACCCGAGTCCCAGCCAGCACCACCAACAAGAGATTGGAAACGCAGGGCAAGTCTGTTTCGCTCCAAGAGCTCTCAAGATGCTCGGCGGAAAGAGAAGAGAAGGCAAACTATAACAGTGAGCCCGGATGCCGGGGACAGAATGTCGAGAGCGAACTCGATGACATGGGAGTCCCAGAAGGAGATGGACCATGCAAGAAGGCTGCAGGTTGACAGGTATGGAAGGTTCTGAGGCCGCGCAAAATCAAGACGACTAACTCGTGATCTAGTTGGCTCATTCCCGGAAACCGGCAATCCATCAACTACAACTTGATGTCGTACGAATCGAGGCGATTACTGAATCTGAATGAGGATCTCACCGCTTGTGAGGAGAACTCCATCATGTCTGACAGCAAGTTCGAGGTCTCTCGCTTCCAGGTTACGCAAAACACTTGGAAAAGCTCTCATCCACATCAGCCTGCGGCCACACCAACTCCCGAGGCGGCGCCCACGCCCCGAGTGTCGCCGCTTCCCCGGGCCACTCCGATTCCTAGGGCCAACTCCGATGTTTCTCTCTACGCCCCAGTTAGACGGCGCTCGATGGTGCAGACACCGGGAGTCGCGACACGTATTCCTTCAGCATCAGATTTTGCCGCCTCAAGGAGATCAAGCTTCCGGCACAGCATGCCAACTACGCCAGCGGGTGGGCGATCGAGATTAAATTCCATTGAGGGAGGATTCATGGCGCTGGACGAACTTGTAGCCGAACCTGAGCCCCTCCCGGAGCTTCTGCCGCCGCCGGTACAGGAGCCCGTTGAGCGTGCCCTCACACCTTCAGACATGGATTATCGACCGCTTGGGGCAATGAAATTCGGCTCACTGCGCATCACAAATGGCGCCGCCAGCCCCATCCCCAGTCCGGATCTCGAAGCCTCAGAAACACACCGGGCGATGGCGGAGCAACTTGCGAGTGACGATGGAACGAGCGGAAAGGAGTACGGCAACCAGGACGTCGAGATCACAGTATCGCCGGTACAGCCGAGCAGTACTTCCAATGTTCTGAGCCCGGTAGGGACGGCCACGTTGGTAATAGACTTGCCCACTTTGGGTGAGAACTCGTTAGTAGAACCCCTTGTCAATTCATGCCGAAGACCTTGTTTGTTGTAAAAAGTAATACCATGAAACATCGCGCTGACTCAAATCAGGCCGCTCAGCCCCGAACTGAAGGTCGCATCAAAGCACACAGCTATGGAAGATGAGCTGTTCGAGGACGATGTGCAAGTCGAATATTCTGCCGAGGTCCTGACTGTCAGAAATGATCCCAACGCGAAACCGTCTCTCGAGCAACTGCAAGCAGACCAGTCTCAGAAATTGAGCCAGGGTGTTGCGCGTGCTGATAGCGGAGTCGTTACCAGCCCAACGACGGAATACCAGCCTAAGCCGCTCTCCAAAGCTGATTCCGGCTACAGCTCAAATGTCTCACTGAGGTCGTTTAATGCCAAGCAAAATGCACGCGGAAAGGATCAACGTATCCGTGTCGCGTTGGAGGAATCAGGCGACGAAAAGCCCAATTCCGTCGTCGTACCAGACGCAACGGTTCCTGCTGTCGGCCCTATTAATGTCGGTCAAGTCGCGGCCAATGCTGACGGTTCTGGTTCTGATTCTGCATCTTCTACACCTCCACCTGTTCCTCCGAAGGACGATTATCTGGCTACGAGCGGTAACACGATGACGATCACATCGCCCAGACACCTGCAGTTCTTCAACCTGAACGCCAGTTCATTCCGCTGGGACCGCAAGACTTCGGTTTCTTTCGAAATGGCTCAGGCTTCAGAGACCGGCCCCGCCGCGCCGCAGCCCGCTCCATCTGCACTGCCGAGCGGCTCGGCTCCCGAGACGTCAAACGCACCCATGATCATCGGCAGCGGCTCGCAACGACAAAGCAAGTTGCAGAGGTTCCTCAGTGGCTCGAGCATGCGAGGCCCACCGGCCACTCACACCATTCATCCTGCCGACGAACCAGTTCCAACTGTACCCCAAGATGTGCAGGCGAAGCTTGACGAGCACTCGGGACGATTCCCAATGTCGACCAAGCGATTGACCCTGCGCAACAGGGAAAGCAAGGACACACTAAAAACAATCTTCAGTGTTGGTAGTGTTGATGTTGGCCAAGCAGAAGACAAAGACAAGTCGGATTCGTCGCCAGTGGAAAGGACGATTGTTGTCAGGAAGCCGGTTGCTCAAGCGGCTGAAGCTGATGACACTCCAAAGACACCCAAAACGCCCAAGACACCCAAGACTCCTAGGCGCCTTTCATTCTCGATTGCACAAGCTGCAGCTTCAGTAATGCCGCGACGCTCAATTCGCCGGAAGCCAGTTCCCTCGAGCACCACAGAAAAGGCTGCTTCAGCTGGCCAAGACAGTGGCGATGAGATCCGGGATGGCTTCGAGTCCAGCGTCACTGCTATCGGCAATGTGGGCGAGAGCGTCGGTAAAAGCGCTTTCGACCAAGCCTTCATGGCCATGCCGCAAGAAGACAACTCTATGAGACCAAATGAGCGGTCCTTCACGATGACGCCACAGATGGAACGCAGCATGGGGATGCATCTTCGTGCACATGGCCAGATGCCGTCAATCAACAGCGACCGCCTCCCGTCGCCACAGAGCCACCTGTTTCCTGAGAGCGTGGATAGCTTCAGCAAGAGAAAGACATCGCCGCCAGTCAGCTTGCATACTCGAAGCGGCAAAAGCCTCCGGAAACCGGCTCCTTTGCGACCCAAGTCGTCCGGCGAGGGTCAGCAGAGACGGCAAAGTCTGTCGAGGCAGAACAGCCGCGAGACAATTCACAGCTACCCCTCAGCATCACCAGGCGCGGGATCACTTGACGAGGCCTTCGTTGTCCCCCCAGTCCCCCCCATGAGCCCTCGAAGGTTCACAATGCTCGAGCAGCAAGTCTCAGTGCGCCGTCAAGCAACTGAGGACAAGTGGCGCCCAACGAATCGGCAAAGCCTGCATCCCAATGACGCCCGCCGTTCCACGCGTAGCATGTCGACTACTACGCTTCCATTGCACCCTCCTCAGCTTCGCCACCGTGCAAGCTACGACGGCTATTCTCAGCAGTACCATGGACCGATTGCTCGCGGTCCTGCCCCTGCTGGGCAACCCGCCAGTCAAAGCGGCGCCTACTACCAGCAGCAGCTCCTGAAGGTCGAGCAGCAGCAATGGGAGCAGGAGGATCAATTCTCCTCCGATATTGTTCAGCTGAGTAGGAGCCGAAGCCGCAGTCGCAGTGTTCACGAGCACCCCAACCCACCGTATCGTGTGTTGCACAGCTACAACTCGCCTGCTTACCGCAACGCACCCATCTGGGGTTGAGCACACTTTATCCCCTCGCTTCTCTCGTCGATGACGAGTCTCATCATTCTTTCACAACTAAAACCGCAAAACGTTTGACACGAGCTCCACTGCGCAACCCTGCGCCCTTTTCGTTCGCAATTCCTTATGTACAATTTCTGCGCACACAATTGACGTCATCCAGAGACGATGGCATGGACTGAAAAGTCAGGGACACGGAGGCAAGGTTACGGATACGAATCGCACGTCTTTTTGTTTTTCACCATTACCATTTGGACATACACACGCCTTTGGATACCCACGGGGGCCTGATGACACACGGATACACCGGCCAGACGAGATTCACACCCAAAAAAAAAACGGAACGGATTTCATTCTGTGAGGGCGGCACAACAGCACACGACTCTTGCTTGTTTTTTTGGTTTTCAAATGGCGTCTCGGAATAAATACCCTTGAAATTGGTATGAGGGGGGATGGTGGCAAAGGACTTGATCCGGAACGGCTTTTTAGGGCAATACGGAGCTACATCTCTGGGGAACAGAGTTGTGTGTACTTGAGAGGATAGGATTTCAACGTCGGGTTTAGGAATAAGAAATACCCTTTGGGGTGAATATACGACGTTACCAAAACAACTGCTCTTTCGCATACTTCTGCTTTGATTTTTCAAGAATCTAACGACGCGTTCAGACCTCGGTCCAACCGTCTCATACAGTCTTCGACACGACCGCCTCCTTGCCGACCTCATTCTTCATGATAATCGCCCGCTCGTTGTTCTTCTTCGCCCGGTCCGTGCTGACCGTACACATGGCGGCGACCGTCGCCGCGACGCCGAAGCCGATCGCCACGAGGTACACCAGCCTGAAGCCCGCCACGTACGACTGCTTCGTCGCCTCGACCGCCAGCCCCGCGAGCCGCGGCGTGACGCCCGCCACGGACGCGTACGCCGCCGCCGTGTTCGTCTGCGCCGCGGCGACCAGGCCCGCGAGGAGGCCCTCGGAGAAGTCGACGCCGGACGCGCGGATCGCCGAGCGCATCTCCCCCGGGAGGACCTCGGCGGTGCGTGTGGAGTAGATGGCCGTGTAGATCGTCGTCGCGACCGCGCCGCCGAAGAGGCGGAAGGTACCTGCTAGGCCGACTGCGACGCCGCTGTGTGTTTTTGTCTCGTTAGTCTGGTCGTCTGGAGCACATCAGGGAGTGAGGGTTGAGTGTGTGTGAGTGTGTCTGCGAGAAGAACGAGAGAGAGACTTACAGATCCGTCTGGTCCTCCAGCCCGAACGAGAGCATGGTAAACGAGAGAAGCTGCGGCGGGGTGATCGTGATGGCGGTGACGACGACGGTGACGATGGCCTGCGCGCGGTCGCCGGAGCCGACGGAGGCCATGGACCCGATCAGCGCCGTCTGGACGACGGTGAAGCCGACGAGTTGCCACTTTTCGTGGTGCAGGCGCGAGCAGATGAAGACCGTGATCAACCCGGCGGCTGGGGGCCATTTGTGTTAGTTGCTGCGTCGCGGAGATGGAATATTTCGTACAAGGGGGAAGGTGAAGTGAAGTGGCTTACCCCAGGTCCCGCAGGAGAAGATGGTCGCGTAGACGCCGCGCATGATGGTCTCCTCCGGGCCGACGAAGAAGGCTTGTGATTGTCGCGGCCAGAGGACGTTCATGCTGTAATACAGCATTCCGCCGACGAAGCAGACTACCATGACCATGTCGAATCTGAAGGGGGAAAGAAACATTCGTCAGCCCGTTAACAAATCAAGACGGTTCTTTCGGGGTCACATGGACAACCTACTCCCTCACTCGTTTAAACAGCTTCGGCGGGAAAAGGGGATACTCCAAATCCGCATACGCATCCCACACCCCGACCGCGACGAAGCAGCAAATCCCGACGACGATGGGCGCGATCGTCCCCGGATGGCGCCACGGATACGTCCGCCCCCCGAAGTTGATGCCCAGCAAGAACAACACCCCGCCGGCCAAGAACAGGACCACCCCGACGTAGTCGAGCTGCGCGAGGAGCCGCATCTTCGTCTTCCCGTCAGCGCGGTGCTTCATGGCAAAATCGGGCGGGCGGTAGAACAAAAACAGCAGCGCGAAGGCGAAGCAGTGGAACGCGAAGAGGTACCAATACGCGCCCCGCCACCCGATCTCCTGGTGGGCGATGAAAGCATAGGACACGAGCGGGGAGCTGAAGGCGAGCGCCAAGCTCACGTCGAGGCCGCCGACGGCGACGACGCGCAGGCGGTTCGGGACGCACTCCTGGACGCAGGCGTAGCAGAGCTCCTGGAAGCCGGAGCCGACGCCGAAGAGGGCGCCGGAGAGGATCATGTGCTCGACGGAGCGGGCGTTTGCGCCGACGAGGGTGCCGGCGATGGAGACGAGGGCGCCGGTCATCATGAAGTAGCGGCGGCCGAAGATGTCGGAGAGGCGGCCGCCGACGGAGACGAGGACGGCGGCGCCGAGGGTCCAGACGACGGTGATCCAGGTGGCGTTGGCGGAGGGGCCGAGGTCGGCGGCGATGTAGGGGAGGGTGGTGGAGGGGATGAGCATCGTCATCACGTAGGCGTTGATCTGGCCGCATAGTGCCTGTTTTAGGGAGGGGGAGTCCTTGTTAGTTTCGTGGTTCGAGAATTTGCTGGGAGGGAGAGGAGGTGGAAAGGGAGTGTGGAAGACTTGCGATGAAGGCTAGGATTGTTTCTTTGCTTAGTTTTCCGTCGGATAGAGGGGCGAGGTCTGAGGCGGGTGGGGAGGTTGTTTCGACATGTTGAGGGGGATCGTGGTCTGTTTTCTCGGGGGTGATGGAGGGGGAGGATGTTGTCGTTTGTGGTGTTGCTGAGATGGCCATTTTGGCGGGCTATAAGGAGACGACGTTCACATCAAGTTCGTGGCCATCGCCAGGGACGTGTACATCTCAAGAGGCGGATTGACTTGCTTTTGTAACTTGGAAGTACAGTGGCAACGTCAATGTCCCGAGACCCCGGGACCGGGTGCGGATATCCCTTTCGAACGTCTCTAGATTGGTAGGATACATCATCATCGTGTGCTACATCTCGTGGGACCACACAGGATGACAGATCGGACTCCCGGTTTGTCTAATGGTCCCACCGCAGTAACCCCCAACCCGCCATCGGTAGCGAAGATCCGGGGTTTCGCAATCAGAGATATATGACTGGTCAGAAGTACACTACGTCGAGATCCGGGGAACTATGATCCGCCCCCGCATTCTTTCTTTGCGTGGGAGTATACTACGGGCCGGACCCGTAGTGTCGGGACGGGCTCAACTGGAGCACGCAGTCTTATGGGTCTACAGGCAGTATATAGAGAGGGTCGCCATGAAGATGTTTCACACGGACAGTGCCGCGGGACTTCTATATTAGGTTGCCGGTGAACGACGAGGATTTGACATAGCCTAGAGGCAGCGTTCATCTGAAGAGTGAGCGTCTTGCTGGTACAGCGCAGGCGTATGTGCGGGAGAACTATTCGCGAAAGGTTTTCCTTGGGCATGTCGTTGGGCTGAACTACGATCGACGCCTCGTGAATCATTAGCTTCTCAGAGCCTCTACCCAGACTTGCTGGATGTGGAGGTTATTGTGCGGCGGGGATGGCGGGAAGTATCCGAGCCAAGCAATACATGCAGCAATGTGTATCAACCAGTCAATCAGCAGAGGATCTAGTGGTATGAAATGAAGCAAGGCGAGGTAGGATAGATAGAGATTGTTGCGTCACGGAAAAGATCTCCCGGCCATGTAGTCGGGCGCTACCACTTACTCAAAACAGCACCACCACGAAAAACGGGATCCACATCGATTGAGCAAACAAAACACATAAATACCTCCTCCTCGCCCCCCTCGCCGAAAAGGCGCCGTCAATCGAAATTCTTCAAGTCGACGGTGTTGGCGCTAGTACTGCACCCACCCCGTACGATGCAACCCTCGACGATTGTTGGCGCGGTACCTAAGTCCTGGGTCCTCCACGACTACCCACCCGTGGTATTAAGCTAACGTGGTTTGAAAATGTCGGTGTATTCGTTTCTTCCGTCTTCATCACCAACAGCAAGTTTAGAGCGGAGGAGACTGGGTAAATGTCGCCAAGAAGGGGAAGCCGTGGGGCAGGGGCAGCGATGGTGTAACGAACATCCACGGGGGTTTGGGGAGGGCTTTGCTGTATTTAAACCGCTCAATCCAGTCCATTACTGCACCCGCCAACTTTAATCAAGAGGTTCTTCGATCCTTGCCTGAAGATCAAAACAAAGTCCCCGCAAATTTACTCTCCAAAAAAAGCCAGCAATGCGTGTCGTCGTTTTCGGCGCAACCGGCGTCCAGGGCGCCGCCCAACTCTCGGCCCTGACCGCCGCAAAGCACACCCCGATCGCCGTAAGCCGGCGCCCCACCTCGGCCCCCGAATTCCCCGCAGCGGAGACCCGCATCGCCGACCTCAACGACCTCCCCTCCGTCCGCGCCGCCGTCTCCGGCGCCGACGCCGTCTTCCTCAACATGCCCTCCTTCCAGCCCCCGGGCCCCCTCATCGCGGCCGCCAAGGCCATCGGCGAAGAGGCGGCCAAGCAGCCGTCGATCAAATTCATCGTCTTCAACACGAGCATGCCGGTGCCCGAGAAGAGCGCGGGCATCGAGGCGCAGGAGAGCCGCCGCGAGATGCGCCGCGTGCTCCGCGAAGGGACGAAGGGAAGCGGCGTCGCGGTCGTCTCGATCCAGCCCGTCGTGTACTTGGACAACCTCCTCGCGGGGTGGACGCTGCCGCGGCTGCGGGACGAGGGGCGCATCGTGTACTGCCACAAGCCGGACCTGGAGGTGTCGTGGATCTGCCACGACGACCTGGCGGCGCTGATGGTGGCGGTGCTGGGGAAGGAGGCGGGGGAGATGGACGGGCGGGATATTCCCGTGGGCGGGCCGGAGACGGTGAGGTTGTCGCAGCTCGCGGAGAAGCTGGGGCGGGCGTGGGGTCGGGAGGTCGGGTACGAGAACCAGAGCGTGCCGGAGTTCGCGACGGAGTTCGGCGATAGGATCGGGGACGCGGTGTCGGGGCTCGAGAAGGAGGCCGTCGTGGACGAGATGCGCAGGGCGTATGCTTGGTACAACGACGCCGAGGAAAAGCCGTTCCGGGTGGATATGGGTCCGGTTTTGAAGGAGTTGCCGGCTGAGTTGACGGCGATTGAGGAGTGGGGTAGACGAAAGGGATGTCCGATTCAAGCCAAGTAAAGTCTAGGTTGACTTTGAAACTAGCTTGGGTAGGATTAGAAGAGAGATGTCTTCACTTGTCTAGCAAATACAAGGAATCCGACCAATATGCACCTCCATTGTGTCTAATTGATGGATTGTTATCTAGTACCTCCAGTTTCATCGTCACGATTTCACTTTCCATAGCCGCTGCTATGATAAGAGATCTTCTCATACGAACACTCATGGTAATAGTTTCCGTTCGCGTCGTATTGGGTCCGTGAAGAGGCCTTCACCATCTCGTAGTCGCCTCCTCCGCCGGCGTTGACCTGTACCATGGCAGATCCTCCAGCACCACCGTTTGTATTCCCACCCCCTCCACCACCACCTCCGCCGGCGATGATAGACCGGTCTGTAGTGTTCATATCTATGGAAGGTTAGGACCGTTTTCCTGGGTTTCGTCATTAGAGTCACTTACTGTATGGAGTTTGAACTTCGTAGAAGGCTTAGACTAGAGGACTTCGTGTGAACGAAAATTCGCGGTAATTGAAGATTGTGTGCGGCGAAGATCTTTGTAGGATTGTGGGGGAAAAGGAAGATATGGCCGGGGTAATTAGTGATTTATGGACGTCATACAAGGCTCGGCTCCTTTAACATCATTTGGTTTGGCAGCCCAACGTGATGAAGTCAGCAATTCAGACTCAGGATTCCAACGAAGAATCCATGAAACTCAAGGACTAGCAGAAATTCCTCTAGTAAATGGGTCAACTCATGTGTTGACACGTTGTCACCTGTACGACCCGATGCGGCAATGCTCCTCCAGAAGTACTCAGACGACTGGTTGGCAGCGTCCAGCATGAAAGCTCCAGAGTATTGTCATATAATACCGCCTCGCAATTGAGAAAGTGTAAAAACCAATTACCTTTGCGGTCGCACAAATGAAGCCTGAATGTCGTCACAGCTTTCGGTGCAATCCAATACCGACGAGGCTCTGCCAGCGTTACCGGCGTGGTTACTTTTGCTGACCACCATCCCGGGCGTAGCAAGGAACAAAGCCCGACAACTGTAGCAGAGCCTCGTTTTCGGCTGTTCTTAGGGCCAAGGCGCACTTCTTCGGTTGTTTCCACAGTCAGCCACTTACTGATAGTTGTTGATAGGTATCATTTATCACACGAGTTCTCAGCAACGGAAAGTTTAAAGCATGCCAGTCTGGGTGAAAAGAAACTTGTTACCTTGTCAACTTGTGGTAACTTTGTGCATCCGCCTTAGCTATCTGATTTCTCTTGTAAATTTACCCCCCTGAAGACCTGCTACCCCTCGGCAATCTCTAAGAATCCATCCCCTTTACCACCCGGACCCCCCTTTACCACCTGAAACCCCTCTGCCGCCTGCTACCCCTTTACCACCTGCTCCCCCTTTACCACCCGATCCTTTCGAAAGGATGCTCTCACCCCATGTAGACTCTCCTCTACCATCGTTCCCACGCTTGCCTCTGCCTCTGTTACTATCGAGTCCGTTTTTTTCGTCTCTAGAACCATAGTACCAACTGAACCATCCGCTGTCTCCCCGCCCAGCACCACCACCACCACCACCACCACCACCACCGCCGCCGCCGCCGCCTCCTCCTCCACCACCTCCTCCACCTCCTCCTCCGCCGCCGCCGCCTCCTCCTCCACCGCCACCACCGCCTCCGCCTCCCCCACCTCTATGGCAACTACCGTCTTTACCCCCGGTCGAACCGCTTCCATCACCACCCCCGCCTGAGAACAATGTATTCCTATCACTGTTGCTACCTCCTCCACGCGAACTTCTATAGAAGCTACTACTAGCTAACCTAGCGGGCTCACCTCTATCGCTTCCATCTTGCTCCGCGTGCGTGGCTTTGACCCTTATCTATAAGATGTTAGGCCCTTTAGGAGTCGGCGTTGTCTGCGTGAAAGATTATACCTTGTGTTAGATGTGGGGGTGGGGTGTAGAGGGGCTATAGGGTAGTAGTAAGGTAGCTACTAGTTAGTAGCCCTAGTAGGGGCTCCTTATATATAAGATAGGAAGACTTAGGAAAAAGTAGAAAAATAGGTTTTAATATTTATTAATATTAAGACCTATGTTTAATAAGAGGGATTTTATTTATTACTTTATATAATACCCTCAATAGTTTAAAGCCTCTTTTTAATATAAACTATTAAATAAGATATCTTTAAAAACTTATTAAATTATTTATAATATTATTATATTATTATTGTTAATTATATTTATAGTTAATAAGCTAGAGTAATAAAGCTTTAAGCTCTTTATTAACTTAAAAAGAATTTAAAACTTTATATTAAGATTAATATAAATTTAAATTATAAATAAATATTTTACTCTAATAAATAAAGAAAGACTTTTATTAAAATATAAACTTAAAGCTATTTAATGAAAATACTATAAGTACTATATATAAAATAAAATAATATTACTCTTTAATAATATTAAAAGCTTATTAATTCTTAATATTAAAGGGATTATAACTCTTATAATATATATTTATAATAACTTCTTAATAATATTATTATTAATAAGCCCTTTAAATAGAGATAAGTTATATCTATATAAGCGTTTTATTTTATTAATATTTATATATTTAGAAAAGTTATATTAAAAGCTTTAGATTTTTCTATTTAATTATATTATATAATTTAACCTTTAAGAAAATAAAATTTATATTAACTATAATAGAGTAACTTATATAATAAGCTATTTATAGAAATAAATAAAAATAATATAAATATATTATATTAAAGAGTAATAAAAGAGGCTAAATTTCTAAACTATTAATATTATATAGATTAAATTTCAAAATATTCTTTAAGATTAGCTATTAAATTAAAATAGCTATATTATAATAATAATATTATAGTTAAATTAAACTTATTAATATTTAAAATAGATATTAAATAAATTCCTATTAAAATATAATACCTTTAAAATAAAGCTTTTATATTTTATATTAAAAAATAATATATTTTATTCCTTTTAAATAAGCTATAACTAAATTTATAATAAACTATTAATATATAGCTATAGCTACTTAAAATATATATTAAATTAATTTCCTTAATAAAAAGGATAAAATACTCTTTAAGTATTAGAGATAATATATCTTAAAGCTATTAAGTATTTTAAAAGTGAGAGGCTAACTAATAAACCTTAATAACTCTATATTATTAGGGGAAGTATTATAACTATAAAAAGAAGAGCTATATTTTATATAATTATAAAGAACTCTTATTTATTAATTAAATAGCTTAAATAGAGTTATTAATAATAAAGTATTTATTTAAATAATAAAATAAGTCCCCTAAAGAGTATAAATAAGCTATTAAGTAGTATAATTATAATAAAAAGAATATATTATATTATATTACTTATAAGCCCTTTAGGTAAGAGGTATATATTATAGCTATAGAGAAATAAAGTATATAACTACTTAGTATTTAAATAAAATATACTATATATATAGAAAGAAGGGATATTAATAGTATAACTATTTAGAAGGTATAGTAATCTTTATTAATAATATCTTTATAGTAGTAATAAGAGAGAGTAACTAGAGCTAAAGGTATTACTTAGAGATCTTAATATAAATATAACTTAATTATTATTAATATTTTAAAAAAGCGCTTTTAAACTTAAAATTAAATATAAATATAACAAGTAGTAGCTACTTTATAGTAAATTTAAATAAAATATAAATATTTCTAAACTTATTATTAATAATAATAATAAGGGAGCTAATTTTAACTTATAGTAGCTATTATTTATATATTTATATTATAAATAATAATAGTATTATAGAGATATAGCTTTATTACTTTATTATAATAAATATTAAAAAAACTAAATATTATTTTAAGTATATTATAGCTAGAGGATATTAACTTTAATATTAACTCATAGAGAAAGACTTAATAATACTCTATTTTTAAATAGTATATCTAGCTTATATTAATTAAGAAGGACCTATAAGACTACTCCATAATAATAATAATATATATTATACTTATTATAGTAGTTATATTTAAAAAGATAATTATATATAATAAAAGTAATAAGAAAGAGCTAAATAAACTAAAATAGAAAAAAAAGTATAGAGATTTTATAGAGTTATTTTTAAAAGAAAGAGTAATAATATTATTAAAATACTTAATATATTTATATTATATTATCCTTAAAGATAATATTTAGCCCCTTTAGGGTTTTATTTATTCTTTACTAAAATATAAACTAAAAATACTATATAATTACTTTATAAAAGTAGAAATAAGGGAATAAATTAAACTCTCTATTAGCTTAATAAGAGCCTCTATCTTATTTATATTAAAAAAGAGAAATAAGCTATAACTTTATATTAATTATTATACTTTAAATAAGATTATTTATAAAGATTATACCTTATTACTATTAATTAAAAAGATCTTAAATTAGTTATTAAAAGTAAAAGTATTTATAAAATTAAATATAATAAATATATACTATTAGATATATATTAATAAAGAAGATAAATAGAAAATAGCTTTTTAAATATAATATAGCTATTTTAAATATATAGTTATATCTTTTAAATTAATTAATATATTAATAACGTTTTAAACCTATATTAATAATATCTTAATAGAACTAATTAATATTATTTATATTATATATCTAAATAATATTTTAACTTTTAATAATAATAATATAGCTTATGAAGAGGATATATATAAAGTTATAAAGAGGTTATAATAATAGAGGCTATATCTTAATAAAGATAAATATAAATTCTATTAATAAGAGATATTCTTTTTAAGCTATATAGTTATTCTTAAGGATATATTTATAGAGTAAGATTATATTTAAGTTATTATAAAGTAGTTATTTTTATATAATATTAAAAATATTTAGATATTTTTAAGATTTATTAGATTTTATTATTAATTTATTAAAAACTACTTTAAGATTATAAGCCCTCTAATAGATAAGTTAAAGAGAAACTAAATAAGCTATTTATATCTTTTAAATAG